AAGCATTTTGTAAAGCCCAAAACCCCCCCCCCCCCATATTCATTTCTATGGCCATATTCACATCTGAGCCTTTGTGGCTTGCATCAAAACACCCGTCACTGAAAAAAAGTATACAAGCTTCTTTTTGGCAAATCCTGCGCTTCTTGGACTCATAGACGTCAATGGAAACACTTAAAAATGTGTTTGCTGCGTTTTTGACCATTCATATCACTGTGCCACCCTCTGCTCACAAAAACATGCAACATTATGTACGCACGTAAACCTGCGCATATTTGATGTCACTCAGGTGTGAATGAGGGCCTAGTCTATATTACCTGTACGTTGGACTGGCATACCTCATCATATTCTTATTAACAATCATTTTTCCAACACATGTCCTGGGCCAAACTCGTGTAAGTGTTGGAGCCACAGGCAGCTCGACAGTACAATGTGTTCAGCAAGCTGCCATAGCTCCGCACAATGTGACTGCAGACACAGCCCGCAGCTGCACACAGCGAACTCCTGCTCTGCACATCTGAGCGGAGGAGCCTCAGCTGGCGCCCGGCCACCGGAGGAAGGTCATGTGACACGGCTCCTCGAGAGCGAGCGTCATTAACCGTCACACGCGGGGGCGCGCACTCCAAACAGGGACTATATACACTACCAAGTGGCGCCCGTAGCACGGGGTTAGCACATAACGGTAAACGGGCAGGGATGAAATAGTAAGCCAGCATTGTTCTCATTAAAAGAGCGCAGCGTTCATTCCTGAATTGTCAAATAAAGTACTGTGCATAGCGAGGGCAGCGTGCTGGACCGGGAGCTCATCGGAGCTAATGAAGCCGAATGATGCAGTGACAGCGCATTTATCAACAACTTGTGACAGCATCGATCTGTGCGCCTGCCACGGACACATCTCCTTCAACCCCAAAGGGCCCCGGCAGCTGCTCCTTCTGTGACCGACCCCTTCTGAAAAGGGCGCTCACCGCTCTCCAATTAGCAGCGTCTCTCAGACGGGCTTGTTAAAGGACGACAATCCCGCCAGGGCCTAGCTTCAACCGTGGCAGCGAGACCCTAACTGCGCCCTCGCAGGCAGCTCTTCGTCCCTGGAGTTTACGCTCTAATGTATCCCTCCGCCTCTCTCTCTTCGGAGCCGGATCTTTAGTCTGTCATCACAGGAGGAGGGGGGGGGGGCTACGTTCAGGCAGCGGAAGGGTTAACAAGAGGAAAATTAGTGCCGGCTCCGCGACTCTGAAACAGCGGAGGGATCCACAGTTTGGAGCTAACGTGGTGCTGAGGCTCGACGAGAGCGGAAAAAATGTCTGCCTGAGGGAGAGCTGTAAGTTCCTATCGGCTGAAAGCAGGAGCTGTCCGTACTGCCAAAGCAGTTTAAAGCCGCACAAAGCAGGAGCCCAGTGAGAGTCTTCCGCCGGGGACGGGGTACGGCCGCCGCCAAAGCAGCAGGGAGGAGGCTGGAGCGGGACTCGCCGAAACTTCAGTCCAATTGTTGGATGTTTAAACGGAAAAAAGGTAAATGTTGGGCGCAGGGCTGAGTGTGTGCACAGGGGAGGTATTAGGTGTCACGGCGGGAGTAGGAGGGGGTGCTCCTTGGCTGTGTCTTGGGGTATGAATGGGGGGGTGGGGTTCCCAGCCGGCCAGCACTTGCCCTATAACCAGGAGAGGAGCCCGCTCCATGGCTGCGCTGTGTGGAGGCTTCCTGTCCTCCTCAGCCGGCCCCGGGCTCAGCCTTGTGTGCCGGTCCTCTGCCTGTCCTGACTCCTCCAAGTCTCACTCCACCGCAACAACTTACAGCGCAACTTGGCAGGAGCTCTATTGTTGCCGGAGGATGGTGAGTCACTTCACGCTGGATTTGGGTTGTATTGTCTGCCCGGCGTAGATGTGCTCCTCTGCGTCAATACACACTCCATGCCCTCCGAGCTGCACCTGTCGGGCCACATATACCTTCAGCTTTAACTTGTTCACCAATAATTGATCTTTCTGCACCGTTACATATTTCACGTCCTCAGATCTGTATTTGTTAGCTCATATACCTTTCGGACTTGCTTGGGAAAGGGGCAGGTGTAGAAATGTTGGGGTAAAAAGTGACATATTTGAAGATGAGTTGCCTATTTTATATCCGGAGATCTGAATTTCCAATGACAGGTGCATGTGTAAGGGGTAGGTTTAAGTTCTTAACAAATATTTGATAGGTGATTTGTTGGGGGTATTGACAGCGGGTGTCCCTATCCCTCCTTCCCGTCCTAGTGTCATATGGGCTGATGAGGGCAGTAGTAGTAAGGGGGGCTGTTTGTGATGCAGCTGGTAAGTGTGTGTGTCTCCCTCTCTAGGAGCTGACCTGAGTGGCTGGAGATGAATCCTCAGCAGCGGATGGCCGCTATAGGCACAGACAAGGAGCTGAGTGACCTCCTGGATTTCAGTGCGGTATGATATCCTTATGGCTTCTCCCACATGGTAAAAGGAGCTCCTAAAACCAGCAGACTGCTAGACACCTTTACTTTTAAGTCATGTCTAGACTCTTAACATGTAATCACTTAAAGGACTAAAAGGGGTCAATTGGTTTATAACTCAGAGGCTGTTCGTTGACCCTAAAGGCAGCAATCCAATTACAGTTGCTCAAAATTAGCTTAATACTTTTTGTGCTTTTTATATGTAAAACTGTAGAGATAGAATTTAAGTAACCTATCCGGATAACGGCTTATTCCAAACTTGTTGCCTTGAGCAATTAAATCATCTGCTTTAAACGGTGTGTATTTAGGGAGTTATTTAACTAGTTAGCCACCAGAGAGATTACAATACTTATCTTTTTATATATTGCACACAAGTTAATGGGGATGGAATCTGTAAACTGTTGTCATGTCAAACTAAATGTTTATTTTTCAAGGTTATTATGTCTACCATAGATTGTTTATTATAACACAGAAGGGACAACATGCAGTAAGCAGGCAGTCATGTTTGTGCTATTTTGTTGCTATATATCCTGAAGTACAATGACTCTGAATCAAATTCTTCTTCTGTTTTGCAGATGTTTTCCCCACCTGTCAATAGTGGGAAAACCAGACCGACTACACTAGGAAGCAGTCAGTTCAGTGGATCTGGTAAGGAATGGCTAAAATGAGATTTATAGCTTTGCACGGATGCCGCAATTGATGATCCTTGTTTAGAAGTGACCTGATTAGTTTGTTGCTGCTGATTTTAATACTTTTGTAATTGTGTGCTGTCATTTTTTTTATAGATTTGACGTTTCTCCTTCTGCCACTGGCCACTGCCATAATATGCAGCTAGGAATTTTATTTTCCATTTTTTAGAACTTGTGTTTCATATTGAATGGGTTTGACTATAGCCTTTTTTTTAAACTGATATTACTTATAGCCAAAGCGTGAAAGGATAAACAAGTTTGTGTGCAGTGTTTTTAACTGAAGTGAGAACGCGTGCAGCTTTTTTTTGTAGTCTGGTACTTGTCTGTCTTGGAAATTTTGTGATCTGCAGGCAAATTTATGGCATAGAAATCTCAAACAAAAAGGTTATAAAGATGCTTGGCACCATATTCAAAATCATGCTTCTATACCATAGAGGACATTCTACTACTTGGTTAAACAAAATGGGGGAAAAAAAAGAAAGGGCTGATTACTAGATCTGTTGGAATGAACACGGATAGCCTGCAAATTGGTTCCACATGTTTTGCTGCATGCAGCTAACACAGCCAGATGTACTATGCAACACAGATCACATTGTGACAGTTTACATAGAGTTGTGATCAAATGCATACAGGTAATACCATAAAGTACGGACTTTCTAAATAATATTGATTTGATTAATGTTGTAACTTTCTTGGATTTGCTCTGTAAGTGCACTGCTAAACTGGAATGTCCAGACGTTGGTCTATTGTAGTTGAAGTTTTTACATGTAGGTTTCACCTCCTTAAATACTGAGGTATTACTGTGTTAGAATGTTACTTTAGGGGTTGGTGATATTCGTCTCCAATTGATGCAGATTTATCATGAATGATATGGTTGCCTCTGTGTTGTATCTTCTTTGGCTTTGAGGAAATACATTGACCAAAGTTGGTTGTACTTTCCATGTTTTATCCCTGCAATTTCATCTGCTTTTCAATTCATACATGTTGTCATTTTGCAATATGTTTAGGTGCTAGTGCCATAAAAACTATAGTATTTGCACCAATATGTATAATAGTACATACTGTGACTTGTTCCTTACTGATGTGTATCTTCCTGAATTGGGGCATATACACTAAAGTACTATTGCACCAAATGAAATCCATTGGTTTAACAACCGCTGGAACAATAATTGGGCTGTTTTAAAAGAGATCCAGATGATTTAGCGGGACTTGCATTCAAAAGGGTTACAGATTGGTTTACTGCAAGGGTTAATGCACAGAGGATCATCATGGCATGTGTGTACATATGCCTGTAAAATTGGAAGGTTCCTGTGTGGGTTGTAATATTTACCACTTAGATATACTGACATATTTTACAGTATTTTGAAGATGTTTGTGTGCTTCTTTGGAATCCTGCATTTTTGTGTTAATGACAAATGACATGATTGTCAACTGCATTTGAATTTTCCTCCCTTATTAAAATCTGTAAGAATTCACACATCTTGTATGTCATTCATTCAAGGCGTCAGTTGAGATATGTTGCTTGTTAGAGTAGCAATGCTATGCTGTCTTGCAACACATGTGCTTTTTTTTTTAATCTAGTCAAATACTTGAGATGGCTTGTCGGTAGTACTGTATGCAAAACTATATAAGCATGAGCACTTAAACTAGATTAATAGATGAGCTCCAGAAAATGCCTTCAGATAATTGCATTTTTTAATGTGCCTTGAAAGACAGACATACTGATTGTAGAGTGATCAGATTTTACCTTGCATATATACATTATCCTAAACATTTAATGTTTAGATTTTAAGGGTTATTTTGTAATGGATAGATCAGACTGTATTATAGTGATAATGACTTCTTTCTCTTGTGAATTTTAAAAGCAGATTTTTCTCCAATAAATAAATGTTCACATAAGCACTATCTGAATGTGTCTATAAGTCCTAATACAACATTTTAGTAAATCCACTAATGTATAAATACAGTTGATGGTGGTAATATTGGTGTTTAGTTAATAATGCATTTGCTTTTTTTTTCTTTTGAATGTTTTATGGCTATTAAATGGCTTCAGTGACTGTTTAAAAAAAAATATATATTTTTACACCATATGAACATAAATTTCAAATACATCTGCTAGAGTATGAACAAAATGTGACCACTATTAATGCTGCTGCAATTTTAATGCACCAGTTAAGCAGTGTAGTGTGTGTTTGTAGTCTATGTATATCTGTATTATATTTGTATCTATCAGACTGTAAATATTTTCTTATTGGAGGTATTCATTTGTTATGCTCAAATGCACGGCTTTGTATGTTGACAGTGTTTTTAGCTTCTTGCACTTGGAGTTTTGGTGTACAAGTAGTGCTAAGAAGAACTCTGGGCAAATAAAATCTTAACCCTTGCAGTGGGGCTACCCTCCCCCCCCCCCCCCATTGCAAGTGTTAGGTGCTTGATTTGTCTAGGGAGCTAAAATAAGTCATACTCACCCGAACCATCACCCCAGCCATCTTACAGACTGGTCCAGTGAATCATTACATCATTTACAATTTACGCCGAGGGACATACCATCACTCGAGCAGAGAAGGAGACAGGCTGAAGAGACCAGTCTAAGAGCCAGCCAGGTTTGTGGTTCGGGAAAGTATAACTGAGTTATTTTATCTCTCTAGGCAAAACAAGCACTTATCCCTTGCAGAGGGTTAAGATTTTATTTGCCCTGAATTTTTCTTAAAAATCCTAATCCATAGAAAATTTTGATGGCTAGGGATTTAGAATACATGATACAACACATATGTAGACATGTAGGTATAGAAAAGAGTGCTATCAGTGCTGCTTCTGTAGCTTTGCTAAATGTAGCAGAATTTAACATACACTTTTCAATAAAGGAAAAATGTGCAATTTTTATTTTTGTCACCCACGTGTGTAAAAATATTTATGGAGTGCATGTTTGTCAGCAAAGGTTAAATTGTTGTCATTGGTATGATAAACCAGCAGTTTACTTGGAGTTAAAATCAGAATATACAGTTGCACTGGTGCAGTTGTGTACATTTACAGTAGAACACTCTACTTTCCCTTGTTCTCTGGTGTTTTGCAAACTTTTAGTGGGTTACTAAATTACAGAGTTTTTTTATTTATATTTAAAAAAAAAAATGTTTAACTGCCCTTACACCTGTCGATTAGGCCATTTGAGATTTCAGGTTCTTAGTGGCAAGTTGGCTTCCTGCAGGGAATGTTAAAACTGACACATATGGGTAGTCTAGGTGTGTACTGACTGCCTATAGCATGCAGGGGACAATGGATATAGTTATCTGGGAGCTACTGTAAATGCGTACCTTGATGCAGCTTTCAAATTCACATCTTCAATCCTGTCTGAACGATATTCAGGAAAGTAGACAACAGCCTGTATGATTTCCTTTTATCAACAATGAAGATGACACTGGACATCAAGTCCCAAGGTAAACTTGCATATACGAAGGTGGACCAACTGCTTGTTGGGTATCCACAAAACATGAGCTTTTGAGAAACCAAGATATAAACCAAGCCTTAATTTTGGTGCTTTTATAAACAAATGTTTCCTTGCTACCTAAATCTGTATATAAATGTCTGCTCTCCCTGTCTTCTGCTCTCAACTATCAGCATATACAGCTTCAGAGCTATTTACCCCTGTGGTTCTTGGTCACAGAAGCATGTGAGGAGCAGTTGTGACTGTTTTTGTTGGGCCTTTGTTGCCTGCTGATGTTAGCCATATGTATTTTGTGTTTTATTATGATGGATGAAGAGCCAAACATATGTTGTACAGCACTGCCTAATGTAATACAGCATATGTATTCCATTTCAATGTTCTATACTTGTTTTTGTCTTTTTATAAAATTTTCTTCCTTAAGACACTTGTGTTAATTTTCTCAGTTGCTTTTTGTTTTCACAATATTTTTTCCATGGTCTGTCCTGTCCTCTGACTTTTTTTATATGGTGTTGTGATTGCTATGGGTGTTCTGACAAAGGACCCCTGTGTTGATGGACCTTATAGATGTGTGGCGCCCCTATGTTGACACTTTAAATGTTACATTCGCCCTAAACTAATCGCAGCAAACACTTCTGCATAGTATATGACAGTACAGTTCACAGAAAGTTTAGAAAAGATGCAGTGCATGCAGAACTTTTTTTTTTACATTAAAGGCAAATTATGGTGTGTGTGTATATAACATTTTCTTTTCTTTTTTTGCTTCATATTTTGTGGTAGTTTGCCCAAAAGTATTTTTTTCTAAGAGTTTAACATCTTTTTATTATAGTAATTTGTAGATTAGCTCCTAAGGGGGGCATGCAATGCATTTGCTCTGTCTCTATCTTGTAAATTAAGATATGAGAATCCTAGGGAGCAGATTTGTTTTCAGTGAGTCCAGAGACTAATTTACTTTGTGATAAGCAACAGTAAACCGGACTAATTGTGTAATGCCACAAAGTAGGAAAAAGAGCATGCATATATGAAAAGCAAATATGGCTGCCCTATGTACATACATTTTCAAAGAGACGGGTTTGTAAAAGAGCTGGGAACAAATATACTTACTTTGGGATAAGCAACAGAAAACCAAAATTATTGTGCAATGCTGCAAAGTAGGAAATGATGAGCAGATATGAGTGCACCCATGAACATAAATATCAATGGATGGAATCCACAATAAACAGATTAAACACAATCTGATAGAATTATTTACATCAAGTGGCTATGTTATATTTTAAGCATTCCCTTTCACCTCAAAGAATATTTAAACCCATTAAGCATATGTAATTTAATATGGTTGAAAATGTTGAGACTATTCGTAAATTTATCTGCACCTTTATGTCTCTCTTTTTAAAGGATAAAACATTCACTGCAGGTAGATATTGTATTTAAATTAGTGATTCACCTACAGTGACTGTTTAGTAAATGTCCCATTCTCTGCTTTATAAATATGTTCTATAGTAAAGCTATACCAGGAAGAA